AGTTCAATCAGTGTTTGACATTATCGTTTCAGTAATACAGAGTCATAGCCATGGTTTAACAGAATTTCAACAAAAAGTGTATTCTGCATTCAGAGTGATTGGTATTTTTTATTACATCTTAAGAAGTGTTATATTTAAGATCATTGAAGGTACTTTCAGGAGGACATATCAGACCTCTCACGGTCCATAAATCGGACTTCTGGGATATTTAATTACAGGGCCCACACTTAACATCTTTATTTCCACTGCGCAGCTCTGTGATTGTAACGTCCTCAGTAGTCTGACTAAATAAATTAAATTTCATTTTCAAACCCCACCAGGGGGCAACTTTTTATAATACTCACACCTGTATGGAATAGCCAAATTGTATTACATAAAGGTGTGAGGTGATTTTGGTTGATGGAATGATCAGTTAAAAAGAAGATATATTTTTAATATAGTAAAGAACATTTATTTTTCTTTACAAAAAGAATATAGGAAATATTCTTTTTATTTTTCTTTACAGTCCCCTTACTGGTAATACAATATGGTTGTGCACCTAAATAGGCCCTAGGCCTATTGTGTGGCGTTGAATTCATTATCCACTGGCAGGCTATGTGTTAACTTATACATTTTAGGTTGTGGTATGAGCTTCATAACTGATCCTCCTAGCTAATGTGTGTTGTTTATACGTAACTATTAACTTAGATTCTAACCATCACATCAAAAACAATTACGATGTCTAAATTGTCATTGTAGGTTAAGAACAGAGGAGAAAAGAAGCAAACTTAACATAACCTAGATGATCAGTTTTGAAACTCATAGGCCTACCAAGTAACAAAGAATACAAGTTTTCATCTTTAACATTTATAAACAACTTAATTTGTTAGCTATAGCCCAAGCTTGTATGGTTGAAGTCTTAACTATAAGAAACTAGAATTAAACAGAACAACTTTAACTTAAGTTTTTTTTTATTAGTAACTTATGCCTATTATTAAATTAAACAAAATCCAATAAGATAAAAGGTATTACGATTGAATCAAAATAAGGCACGTTGGTATTATACGGCGGCCACCTTTAAACAGTGCGCTGCAGCGGTTATGTTAGGTTGGATTAGGCTATCATAAATACTTATGTAAACTCCTCGTTTTGTTATGAATCGAACGATACCAGATAAGTCATACTTACTGTTTATGATAACCACCAAACCTAACATACCCGTCACAGCATGCTGTCGTAGGGTGGCCTTCGTATAGTACCAAAAGTACCCTAAATATCAAGAAGAGGCTGCACTTTATAATAGTTATAATAGGCTGTTGTAATAGTTAGAATATTAAAACATCGTTTATTTAATTTAATTGGCGGTTTGTTTGAAATTATTTAGAGTAACATGAGTAACATGCCGGAAACAAAATCTCATTTTTCGTTCGATTCTAGGCCAAACACAATTCAAGAACTTCGTAGACTAGCTACAAGAGTTACAAGTGCCGTCAGGGCGGAAACTCGATATTTTGGACCGACGATTTTCACACCACAATTTCACACACCCCCACCCCAAACTATTCCTTCTCAGAGACCCCGACAACCTTTTCCCCGTCGTAACGACTCCAACGATCTCAGGAATAGACCCGCCGAAAGAATCATAAAATGTTTTCGTTGCAATCAGGAAGGACATTTAGCCAGAAACTGTAGGAGCTCTTTAAACTGGTAAATGACATCGACGAGGGGGCCCGGTGTCATACAAAACTCGCGACCATCCCCAACAAAAACAAAATGGAAGCCGTAGACTTAAGTGGTAAGTTGCCATTTGCTCATGTTACGTTCGACAGCTCAGTAAAATGCATTGCTTTGATCGACTCTGGTAGTAGTAGGTCATTAATTAGTAAAGAATTATTCAATATGTTGAAAGATAAACAACTGGTGTCAAATGTAAATAAGGTAAGTCATTCTATGGGTACTGCGTCACAGCACAAAATCACCGTCAGATACGAAGCTACAATTCATTTGAAATTAGGCGATTTTTCCTGGAACTACGAATTTTGGGTCGTAAATCAACTGCCGTTCAAAATGATTTTGGGTTACGATTTCATGACTTTCACAAGGATGTCAATAGATTTGAATAAGTCAATAATAAAATTCAACTTTGCTGACAACGAACATTCTCTTTGTTTAGTAGGCGAAGATGAGATTCCACGTTGCGAAAAACAAGATTTAGGCGATTCTCCCCTCACTCCTGAACAGAAAACAAAATTTGACGATTTGTTATACAGCTTTAACGACGTCATAACAAATAGAATAGGTACAGCGAAAACAGAACCGTATAAAATCAAGTTCAGCGATAACATCGTTCCGTTTCGTCAGAGACCTTATCATTTACCACCTGATAAGATGGTTATAATGAGAGAGACAATACAAGAGTTATTAGATCAAGGTGTCATTGAGAAAAGTGTTTCTGAATTCAGTTCAAGTGCATTTCTACGTCCAAAGAAAGAAGCTGGTAAGTATAGGCTAGTTGTCAATTACAAGGAGTTAAACAAATACATCGAAATGGATAGTTTTCCGCGGCCCGAATTTGATAAGATTTTTCAATATTTTAAAGGTGCTAAATATTTTACTACGCTCGATTTGAACAACAGTTACTATCAGTGTTTGTTACATCCTGACAGTCGAAAATACGCAGCTTTCAATGTAGGGTACGCATTGTACCAACCACGAACTTGTCCCCAGGGTATTAAAATAGGTAGTCAGGTACTAGGCAGAATTGTCGACGAGGTGTTAGGAGATCTGAAGTTTAAGTGCGTTGTCAATTTTGTAGATGATCTTTGTATTCATAGTCCTGATCCAGAGACACACTATCGCGATCTGAAACAAGTTTTACAACGATTGCGAGAAGCCGGATTGACTGTGAAACCAAGCAAGGTCACTTTAGCGAAACGCGGCATTCGATTTTTGTCACACGTCGTCAAAGACGGAAAATTGTATGTCGACGAAACCAAAGCCGAAGTGATTAGTAACTTCCCGCGACCACGAAATTTAAAAGCAGTTCAACGATTTTTGGGAATGGCAGCGTATTACGGGAAATTCATTCCAGATTTTTCCAGTGTTAGTCGTCCACTCAATATGCTAAGGAGGAAAGGTGTCCGTTTTAAATGGGGTAAAGAACAGGAAGAAAGTTTCAATAAATTGAAGGAGTGTTTGTCTTCACCTAAAGTGTTGCATTTGCCCGACTGGAAACAGCCCTTCGTCCTTTCATGTGATGCAAGCGAATTTTCCGTCGGATGTGTCCTTGAACAGATCAGAGATGGTAGAGCTGTCCCCATAGCGTTTGCGAGTCGGACCTTCTCAAACAACCAACTTAGATATAGCATGTATTTAAAGGAGTTTGCTGCCGTACTTTTCGGTTTAGAAAAATTTAAAGATTATTTGGCAGACAGACCATTTGTCATTAAAACTGACTGCATGGCTATTACGTATGTGATGGGTTGCGATAAAAGTGTCGGAATGTTAGCTAGATGGAAACTACGACTCTCACAATTTCCTTTTGCCAAGATCGAACATTGTAGGGGCACCCAAAACATTGTGAGTGATACTCTGAGTCGAATGTTCGAACCTGAGGAAGCTATAAAACAAAACAACACTCCAAAACCTGATCAAGTTTGTTTTTTACAACATTTTCCAGAAACGTTCGAATCACTCAGTGATAAGCAGAGGGAGGATGAAACCCTAGGTAAAATCATCACTGATCTGGAGAATGGTATAACTGTACCTCATGATTGTATAAAAAAGGGCATTCTAAGATTCCAGAGAAACATCAAATGTTCCCCAAAGATTGTGGTACCTAGTTCAATGCGTGTTATGATGATGAAATATTTCCACGACATATCCATTCACTCTCATTTGGGCATAAAAAAGACTACAGCACGCCTAATAAAGCATTTTACATGGGATGGAGTTTTTAACGACGTAAAAAATTACGTACGTTCATGTGAACTATGTCAACTCTCGAAACCAGCCCAGAATTTACAGATAGGTTTGATGAACTCAAAACCACCCCAGAAATGTTTTGAACGACTCCACATCGATATGTTTGGTCCACTGGTAAGATCTGTTTCAGGAAATGCTTATGCTTTCGTATGTATTGATTCATTCTCTAAGTTCAGCTGGGTTATTCCAATGAGAAAAGCAGATTCAAAGACAATAATCAGTGCATTAAAGGATAAGATTTTTTCACAACACGGGTTGCCAGAAACCATTGTATCGGACAATGCATCCATTTTCAAGTCCGAAATGTTTAGGAGTTTTTTATTTGGTTTAGGGGTGAAACACATAACTACCTCAGTGGCTAGGCCTAATTCAAATCAATCCGAGAGATTAAATAGAAATCTCAAAATGATACTCAAAATCTATCATTCTCAAACCCAAAAGAAATGGGACGAAAATATATCTTTCCTTTGTATGGGATTGAACTCTGCGTTACACGAAACTACAGGTGTGACTCCAGCTTATGCATTCCTTTGTAGAGAGTTAAACCATTCACTCAAACTACACTGGGACCTTGGCGATGAATGCTCGACTGAAACAGCCGAGGATAGAGTGAGTAAAATATTAGAACACTCTAAGAAAGCTCATCAAAAGATTAAGGAGAGATACAATAAAAATAGAAAACCGTCTCCATATACTGAAGGTGATCTGATATTATACAAAAAATATACGCCTAGTAACAAAGCAAATTAAATCAGTCATAAGCTAACTCATACTTGGGATGGACCGTATACTGTAATTAAAGTATTAAATCAGGTAAATGTAAAAATCCGTCTGAATCGGGACCCATCCATTGCGAAAGTAGTTCATGTATGTCAGATAAAAAAGTACTATTCGAGAGATTAGGAAAAAAATCATTGTTGTTAATGCCTACGTTTGTTTGAGGGTGTACCGACTCGTTTTTTTTAAACACAATATTGTTAATTTTAAGACGGTAACACCAAACCATTTTTCCCCAACAGTGTACAGTGTGAAGGGAAATGTCACCCGTCGCTGTGAGTGTTTTGGGAGACTCGCAGGGGGTCAGGCTGGTCAGTGTGGGCGGCGGACAACAATCAACTACACAACAATGGTCGATTGAACACAGTGTTGCTCACGGCGGATGGACTACTCAAGATCTCAAGTGCGCTATCAGAAACCAAGTGTCAGTGCTAAAACCCACATGCATAATTTTCATTGGAATTAATGACATTTTCAAATCCATTGCCCCAGAGAAAACTAAAATCAATATAAAGACAATTATCCGTTTACTGAAATCCCACAACAAAACCATCTACATTACCACTCTCCCTCCCACTTTACATACTCCCCATATTCAACCCAAAATCAAATCCTTAAATATTTTTATCCAGTCTTTAAATAATCCCCCATCCATTCAATCAATAAAATTCCATAAACTATTCCCACCATTTGCACCAATGAATCTATCATTATACAACAAGAAGTATCGAAATGGGAAGCCAGACAACGTACACCTATCAAGTACAGGTTTCAAACAGCTGATGCGCCACATCTCGCTACGAGTCGATGACCTACTTCCCACCCCACCCACCCCACTCCATCGCCAACAGCTGATCGCCGATAGTGAACCATGAATGAACTGCTGCTGTCTGCTTCATTGAGTGCTAGGTTATTCTACAGTGTGATAAAGCGTGCGCGTTTTTCACCACTCGTGTGGAGTAGATGTAAGTGGTAATTTGTGAGACGCTTTGGTGTCAGGTATTGTCAGCTCTCCCATCTCAAATCGCACTCGCCCTCAGTACAAAATAGAAATAAGGCAAACAAATAAAATGAAAAAAATGGAAAATGAAAAAAAATGAAAATGAAAAAATGGAAAAATGAAAAAAAAAGAAAATAAAATGTTAAGCAAAAAAAAAATAGAAAAAAAAGGAAAAAAAATGAAAAATGGTTTTAAAATAAAATTTTTCCTAGCATGTTTTTCACACTTTGAAAATATTAATATTGAATATTTATATGAGTATTATTTAATAAAAAAAATGTTAATGTGAAGAAATTGTTTCGTGTTTAAATGTATGTAAATTGTAACTGTGTAAATGTGAAACTGTTGTGTAAACGTCTCTCCGCCGTCACAAGCGTCGCGTCGCGCCGCCGGTTTGAAAATTGTCCCGGGTTGGACGAAGTGTTCTTGCGGACCTTGTGGTCGCTCGGGCCAATTTTTTTGGCAAGGGGGCATCATGTACCGATTCAAAATGAATGATCGATTGAAAAATTCAAATCAAACAGAAAACGCGCGAAGGCAAGGACCAACAACGGCCAATCACGTGAGCGCGGAGGAACACCAATTTGCTGACTTGTGTGGACGTCTTTCTAACGGTCACTTGGGATTATGCTCTGAGCCGCGATGTACGGAAATCTTTAAATTCTCCTTTTCAATTCGCAAAACTCGCTTTTGGTAGTCGTAACGTGTATTTTGTCAAAGAATCAATTGTTCGATTTCCGGAGTGCATTGATATTTACACCGTGAAATAACATTTGCTAAAATACGAATTGATTAAGTAAACGAGTCTTTAAGTTCGACGTCGACCGGCAAAATTCGTCAGATTTGACCATTTTCATAGAGCATACCCCAAGTACAGTGTCGTAATTATATGTTTATGTGTCGTCAAAATTGTCTTCTGTGTATGTAAGTAAATGTTTTGTGTAAATTGTATTTATATCATTAGGAGTAGCCAATCTGTCCACATTCATATTTATTTTGTTTAATCATGTTCCTTGCAGGTTTCATGTACTAGTGTGTAATTTCAGTCACATTGCTTTAAAATCATTGTCGTTTACTTATTTTAAAATACATACTGTGATACATTTATAGGTATTATTATATTAATAGTTTGGGTAAATCTTTATACCAGTTAAATTTCATATTGTAATTTTGTACTTAACTTCAATTTATATCGTTAGGATATCAGCTGTCTGTCACGTAAAACAGTTACAATTTGTTCTTGCTTAAATATTTGGGTTTGAAATCATTTCAAAAATACATAAAGAGATCTCTGAGAGTAATTGATTGGGTACAAATTCAGGTTTCAATCAGAGCATTGTCCCGGTTGAAGGTTAGGTTTCAATAAAGGCTATAAAGATAGGCTTCCATTAACGCCATAAAAAGTCACATTATTAAATTAAATTAAACAAACGACTCAGTAGTCGTTTTGGTCCAGTTTGCCACTGAGCAACAAAGTGTGCTGTACACTGAACTACGAATAGCCCCTTTGCATATAAGATCAACTGGCCAGTTGTAGACAATACATTAATTTGGGAAGCCTGATAGCCTAAATCAGATTAAATAAATTAAATCTAGGTTCCCGAGGCTCTGCTGTCAAATCTCAGGAAAGAAAGTCAAAAAGGCCACAATCAATACTCTCTCATATTAAATTGAAGTGTAATTAGCAGGAACTTGAATATTATTAATTATAGCTGAAACTCGAATATTATTAATTAGCCTATAGCAGAAACTTGAATATAATATTGATTATTTGTAATATTTGTAATATTTGAAGTGACAATACACATAGCTTATTCTTTCAACAATTTTGTTAATTCTCCTGTGTTAATCTTGTCAAGGTAATCGGCTTAACCGAACAATTACAATAAAGTATAATATCAGTAAATAGTCAATCAATACATAATTTATTACATATTAGTTCAATCAGTGTTTGACATTATCGTTTCAGTAATACAGAGTCATAGCCATGGTTTAACAGAATTTCAACAAAAAGTGTATTCTGCATTCAGAGTGATTGGTATTTTTTATTACATCTTAAGAAGTGTTATATTTAAGATCATTGAAGGTACTTTCAGGAGGACATATCAGACCTCTCACGGTCCATAAATCGGACTTCTGGGATATTTAATTACAGGGCCCACACTTAACATCTTTATTTCCACTGCGCAGCTCTGTGATTGTAACGTCCTCAGTAGTCTGACTAAATAAATTAAATTTCATTTTCAAACCCCACCAGGGGGCAACTTTTTATAATACTCACACCTGTATGGAATAGCCAAATTGTATTACATAAAGGTGTGAGGTGATTTTGGTTGATGGAATGATCAGTTAAAAAGAAGATATATTTTTAATATAGTAAAGAACATTTATTTTTCTTTACAAAAAGAATATAGGAAATATTCTTTTTATTTTTCTTTACAGTCCCCTTACTGGTAATACAATATGGTTGTGCACCTAAATAGGCCCTAGGCCTATTGTGTGGCGTTGAATTCATTATCCACTGGCAGGCTATGTGTTAACTTATACATTTTAGGTTGTGGTATGAGCTTCATAACTGATCCTCCTAGCTAATGTGTGTTGTTTATACGTAACTATTAACTTAGATTCTAACCATCACATCAAAAACAATTACGATGTCTAAATTGTCATTGTAGGTTAAGAACAGAGGAGAAAAGAAGCAAACTTAACATAACCTAGATGATCAGTTTTGAAACTCATAGGCCTACCAAGTAACAAAGAATACAAGTTTTCATCTTTAACATTTATAAACAACTTAATTTGTTAGCTATAGCCCAAGCTTGTATGGTTGAAGTCTTAACTATAAGAAACTAGAATTAAACAGAACAACTTTAACTTAAGTTTTTTTTTATTAGTAACTTATGCCTATTATTAAATTAAACAAAATCCAATAAGATAAAAGGTATTACGATTGAATCAAAATAAGGCACGTTGGTATTATACGGCGGCCACCTTTAAACAGTGCGCTGCAGCGGTTATGTTAGGTTGGATTAGGCTATCATAAATACTTATGTAAACTCCTCGTTTTGTTATGAATCGAACGATACCAGATAAGTCATACTTACTGTTTATGATAACCACCAAACCTAACATACCCGTCACAGCATGCTGTCGTAGGGTGGCCTTCGTATAGTACCAAAAGTACCCTAAATATCAAGAAGAGGCTGCACTTTATAATAGTTATAATAGGCTGTTGTAATAGTTAGAATATTAAAACATCGTTTATTTAATTTAATTGGCGGTTTGTTTGAAATTATTTAGAGTAACATGGCCATGAGAAATATGCTATTTGAAACTGTTAATAGTACCAGAAATTTAATCTGGAAGAATCGTTCATTTAAGTAAGATTTTAACAAACTGTAAAAAGAATGGGGGAGCAAGGATTTAAGTTTATACAGTAGTCCAGTGTGCCACACTTTATCGAATGCCTGTTGTACATCCAGAAATGCAGCAGAACAGTACTTTTTTGTTTCAAATGAATTTTTAATGATGTCTACTAGTCTGTGGGTTTGTTCAACTGTAGAGTGTCCTTTCCGGAAGCCAAACTGATGCTCAGGAATCAAATTTAAGTCTTCTATAATTGGGTTCAATCTTCTTAGGATTAGTTTTTCTAATAATTTGGATACAACAGGAAGCAAACTTATGGGTCTGTAGGACGAGACCTCATTTGGTGGTTTGCCTGGTTTTGGAATTACCACAAGTTGAGCTATCTTCAATTGAACTGGAAAATATTCTAGCCGTAATATTGCGTTAAATATGAAGGTCAGCAATAATATTCCTTTTCGTGGCAATTCTTTCAGAATCCTGCAAGTGATTAAATCGTATCCGGGACTTTTCTTTGGGTTTATTTCCTTTTGTATTACTTTTAGAACTTCGGACGGTGTACAGGGTGATATAGGCAAAGATAATTGATTAGGTGAATCCAAATATTCAAAAATATCACTCTCGTCGTTTGGTGGATTGGGAAGTAAGGGCTTGAATACTTCTGAAAAGTAATTTGAGAATATACTTGCTTTCTCCATGTTAGTTTTGGCCCAATTTCCATCATTTTTCCTGATAGGTGGAACATGTTGTACTGGGCGCTTTACGTACCTCGTGGATTTCCATAAGGAGTAATCTGTGGCTTCAGTTGGAGATAAATTGTTGGTAAAGTCGGAAAACCATTCATTCTTTAGATTTACTAAACATCGTTTTAAAGTTTGAGCTGCATGATTAAACCTATTTTTATCAGCTGGGTTTCGAGTATTCTGCCAAATCCGTCTTAGCTTGCGTTTCTCAGCAATTCGTTTTTTTATAAACAAAGGATAGTTTATCGATTTCGTCACCGAGGTTTTTGCTTTAGGAGTGGCTTCCCAACCTGCTTTTTGTATAGTGGTATTGAAGTAATTAATTGATTCCTCCAAATCTGTTGGGGTTTTTAACGGAATTTTCAGGTCAATATTACTGTTTATTAAGTCTCTAAAGTGATCCCAATCAGTGAATTTATTGCAAAGGAACGGTGGTTGTTCTTTAAGAGAAATGATCTTACTGTATGTTATGATAACAGGAGAGTGATCAGAAGAAAGATCAAGGGATGATTCTACATCAATATAGTTCAATGAAATGCCCTTTAGTACGCAAAAATCTAATAAATCTGGCACTTTGTTTTGGTCCGTTGGCCAATAAGTAGGTTGGCCTGTCGAAGCACAATCAAATCTATTTGCTGTTATGGCGCTATAAAGCGTTCTTCCTCTAGGAGTTATTAGTCTTGATCCCCAGTGGGTGTGTTTTGCGTTATAGTCTCCACCTGCAATGAATTTTGAGCCAAGAGATGAGAAAAATTCTTTAAACTGGTCTTTATTGATAACATGAGGTGGGGGACAATAAACAGCCGACAGTGTCAGAGAGCTATCATGCCCGTCCTCTAAAACTACGCTGGTAGCTTGTAGAAAATTATTTTGTGTTTTAGGTAGTTCAAATTGTTTAAGTTTTTTGTGAACTAGCACCGCTGTTCCGCCATGCGCCCTATTATCAGGGTGATTAGTACTATAAACATTGAAATCTGAAATATTAAAAAAACTCTTGTCAGTAAAGTGGGTTTCTGAAATCAAACATATATCTATTTTTTGTTGAGTAATAAAAAGCTTGAGTTCTTGACAATGATTTGCCAAGCCGTTGGCGTTCCAGAGTGCAATCCTAAGGAAATGATTCATTTAATTTAGTTTACTTATGACGGTGGTTAATAGATTCATAAGAGAACCTATTTGCTGAGTTTGTTGGAGCAGTAGCTTTTCAAATTTGTCTATAAAACTTTCAATGTTTTTTTCTAAGCTATCCATCCTACAGGTTTCAGTCATTTGTGGCATTTTTTTAGAAGCAGCAGCTTGGGCGTATGATTGAGGTCGATCAGTTGTATCAACTAAAGGAAGACTGGGCGGAATTTCGGCAGAGGCTTTCTCGTTATTTGATTTGGCGTTGTTCAGAGATCTCTTTCTCAAAGGAGGGTGCAGATTGTTTTTGATCTCTCTGTATACGGAACAGCCTTTATAATTTGAAGGATGATTTCCTTCACATAAGGCACATTTTGGTGGTTCAGAAATAGGTTTTTTACATGTTAGCGTATCGTGATTTTGACCGCATTTTACACATCGATATGGGTGCCAGCAATAAGTTTTAGTGTGGCCATAGTTTTGGCACCTTTTACACTGAACAATATCAGGCTTCTTTAGGGGAGGCTCGAAAGTGATTTTAGCATTTAGAAGGTATTCAATATTAAATATGTTCTTATTGCCTGAATTAGGCTCAAGATCGACAAAAAACAATGATAGAGGCGTTTTTGTTTTTTGTTGCCGGATGTTGACTACATTACGGACTTGAAACCCGTAAGCCTCAATAGCGTTTTTTATGTCCAAAACGTCTGTGGAAAAGTGCATGTTTTTTAAAACCACGCGATAAGCTTTGTCTTGCTTAAGCTGGTAAGTATGAAATTTTGCATCAATTTCTTTAAGTTTGTGAACTAGTTTTCGGTATGCTTCCGAAGACTCTGTATTGATTTTAATTTTGTTTTGGCTCAGACATTTATACGTGTAAGAGCTACTGGGTATTACAGACTCAATCATGGTGACCATACATTTAACATCTAATACGTCAGGAACAAAAATCGGAGGAGGCTTGACTTCAGGAGCCTGAGATGACGCCGCCGCGTCACTCTCTTCCATTACATCAGTCTCACTGATGGCATCAAATCGGTTTGAGGTCTTAACCGTAAAGTTAGACGAGCTTTGGCGGGATTTTTTTGATGTTTCAGAGGTGTTTAGACCAGTATTACTGATAGATCTTTTACTTGAAGATGCGGCTATCTGCCATTCATTCTTGTCATCTTGTTTATTTTCGCTATTGCGTTGCGGGATAAAATTATTTACATGATGTGTTATGCTTGATTTACTGTAACTATGGTCGTGCATAGGATTCCCGTTATTATAAGGGGCTTTGTCATTGGTATTAGCAGTCTCAGGTTGCATATTTAACAAACAATGAATGAAATACAAATGTCAACAAAAACAAAACAAAGTCAAATTGGGGTTAGGTCAGATCAAAACCGTTATAACATCACATTATGGGAAATATTCGTCAACACTACAAATTAATTAACTAGAAACAAATAGTTCTCGACCTTTTTACCAACACTTCAAATATTTCTTGATGAAATATCAGATATTTGTCAAATATAGGCGCACTAAAAACAAATACATTTTCACTGCACTATTAACAACATTCTATGCTTAATCTTCAATCTTACATTTTTTTTTTCTTTTTTTTTTTCAAACTCTTATAGCTTCTTGACTATTCATAGAGTAATGTTGAAATTATTAAAATTTAATTTTAAGTGTTAAACGAAAAACTAACTTTTTGAGAGCAGAGCTTGGAATGGGGGTTGGTTTAATTTTAATACTGATACTAAGCTATTTACAACAAATTAGAGAAAATCATAGGAATAGTTTTTGAAATCATTGTGCGCAAACGTTACTAATATTGATAGTATATATGAAATAAATAAATTGATTGAATAAACATAATTTGCTTCAGGTTCCCTCTTGCTGCGCCTCTGATCGGGTATCCCTCCGTGAGATCCAATCTGTACCGCCTTCGGAGACAAAGACAGCCTCCAATGCCACATTCACTGGCTGAGTTTGCGGCAATCCTCGAAAGACCAGACTACAGCCACTTGAAGGGGGTGCATGGTATAGAGGATGCTGCGAACTTTTTTCGTGGTCTGATAGGGGGGCAGGAAGAGGGCTGGACTGCGGCAGTTTTTATATCCCCGCGGCTGCAGAATGACCCCATGCTGCAACAAAAGACAAGGCTGCAGATGGATGCTACGTTTAAGGTGTTGCCACAGGAGCTGAATGCATATCAGCTGTTAACAATCTACGCTGAGTACATGCATGAAGTGAGTATTTTAATATCAATCAAATTTGACCTACTTAATAATTGTTATTTGAAATATTACACTATATAGTTTGCAAAGGTATAAAGTAAAATGAAGAAGTAAGGCTTTGATGATAATATTTTTCTCTTTTAAGGGTACGCTGTACCTCTGCTCGGAAATCTCAGCTCGGGCTACAGTAGCTGTGTTGCACCAATGAACAGCGCTGCGAGAAGCGCTTGCAGACGTTTAAGTCCTCATGAGTAAAATGGTTTATAAGAGGCTTATTTTAAGGCACTTGTCAGTAACTTCACTTTAAATGTCGACTGTTTACACGAAGGCAAAAATAATTCAGATTAATTAGAAAATTAAATTTACAGCTGTTTCCTGTGGCATACGCCATAATGTCATCTAAAAGCCAAGCAGCCTACGTCGGAGTTCTACGCTACATCCGAGGGGAGATCCCGACTTGGAATCCCCAAATCATCCTGTCGGATTTTGAGACAGCTATGCGAAATGCTGCCCAATTAGTTTGGCCAGAAGCGCAACTGATTGGCTGTTTTTTTCATTACGCGCAGGTAAGTCCCCGTTTTATTATATTTGGTTATGTTGGACTCATTGTACATCTTGATTATGAGATTGTTGAATAGAGGGAAACTTTAAACATTCTCACAAACCACGGAGTTTCTGCTTAAGTTATTTATCTATAACTCTAAACATCTACTTATCAATTTTCAGCGAATTTCCCAAACAGGGACCGATATGATTTTGGCTCGTTTACAACTAAATCTAACATAACAGTTCCCAAACTGAACTTCCATTCCTTTAAAATGAAATTTAACATCTTACCTTAAACTAACAATCTAACCAAGAATTTAATGTTAAGAAATATAAATACAATTTAATCAGATTGTTTGAATTAATTAAAGTTAAATTGGCTCATTGTCAAGAACTTTAAAATTGTTTAGGAGCAAGTTTAATTTTTAAGATAAGTTTTTTTATTAATACATTATTGTATTTAGATCTCCTGTATTGACGCTCGCCAATCCCTGCCATTTAATAAACTAATACAATCACCTCCAGAAAGGACCATATTGTGTAAAAATGTTAATCAAAGATTACTTATAACTGGACATATACAGTTATGGTGTACTTTCAATTTCGCACATATTACCAAGATAGCACAGTTTATTTCCCGTTGACCGGTTTACTGTTCAAATAGAGCAACTCTGACCTAGCCTTAATTACCTAGGAAACGAAGTTGACTTATAGGTTGAAGTTGAATTATCGGCCGAAGTTATCTGTAAGGTAGCTTCTATCAACAAGTTCAAGGCCAAGGTCGAGCTGACCAGCTGACTGTGGTGTATGGACGTGCGTGAGCGCCCCATACACTCTCCTATCCATACATCACTCAGCTTTTCCACCACTGTCAGACATCTCGATTTAACCATCTCTGCTCTAAAGACTTCACTGACCTTGTTACCTAGCATCTTTCACAGTATGCATTATTTTCTGATTTATAAGTTGTTTGGCTGGAATCCAAGGAATCCTATTGTCGGAGTTCCATTTACCTGATTTGAATTTAATTTCAATCTATTGAAATTCTTTATGTTTAACGAGTAAATAGATTAGCTGCCTACAGGGAGGGTAATATAATGTGTTTTTAGTGAAATATTAAAAGCTTAGTATGAAATCAATATATTTGCAAAGCTTGATCCAAATATATTCATATACTGTACAAGCAAACAACAACAGTTTACTTATTCTCCGTAAAAAAATATTTTTGACATTAATAACGATAATGCGTGATTAAACTTCAAAGAAACAAACACACAAAACTTGCTAACTAATACAATACAATTTTTAATATGGATATGTTATGATTTAATTTGACAAATGTTTTTTTCTGTTCAACATCTATACGATTTCATTCATTACTTCCAGGCAATCTACAGGATGCACCAGCGGGTGCGAATGGCACCGCTGATTAACACCACTGAGGCAAACACCGCCCTGAAACTTATCATGGTTTTAGACCTCCTACCAGCGGAAGACATTTTTGCGGGGGTGGAGGTTACACCACCTAACAAAAAAAATCATAAATGACAAAATTTGAACAAGGGTGCTGGGTTTAAGCCCGCTGGGGGTGCTCAGGGATCTATCACCTTGGTCACCTCTGGTTTCCCAGCAACTGGGTGGGTAAGGCATCGATCGGGTAGTGGTGTAAATAGGTGGTTGGGGTTCCCCCCATCAGCTTGCTGGTGGTCCCCTTCTTCCTGGCTTTGATGGCGGGTTCCGCCCGTCAGGGATTGGATAGGTCCCGAGTGTTGCTTGCACTAAATGCGTCAGGGCATTCCACTATGGTCCTTCTGGGTTTCGTACCTGGGGGAACCCAGGTGGAGTGACGCTTAAACAAGTAGCCGGTATCCCTGGTTAGGATTGAGGGGCAACTCTCTCTCCGAAGGGTTGCTTCGGCAGCCGGTGAGCCTAATAAAATCGGTAATAAAATCGTACTACTATTTTAGCTTATAACATATGAGGAGCCTAAAAGCCAAGGGATCAAAGTACCAAAAACCACTTTTCGAGATAATTGAAGTCAAAGTTCAAAAAAATATATTTAGGTAGGGTCAAAATATGTTGGTGAAATTAAAGTTAATGAAAGAATAAATTGTTGTAAACTCATTTTATTGTCTTACAAACACAACACTGAATTATATTTAGTAAACAACTTCATATGTACAATGTAAAAACATATGATGGTCCATCACTAATCCAGACTGGATGAGTTGGGTTGCAATATTCAACATCCCCCCTCACCAAACTTAGCTAGGTAAAAGTCCTAGGCACTTTTGAAATTTTTGATGTTTTGGTTCGCTTAGTCCTTTAGTAAAAATATCAGCAACCATGTATTCTGTGGGTTGGTAGTTCAATTTTATTTCTCCATTTTGTACTTTTTCCCGTATAAAATGTTCTCTGATACTGATATGTTTAGATTTACTTCCTATAATGGAGTTTTTAGCCATTGTAATAGCTGATTGGTTATCACAAAATATTTCAATGACTTCTTGAGGTCTTCCCATATCATTAATCAATTTTTTTAAATGAATGGCTTCTTTTTCTGCTTCAGTCAATGACATGTATTCCGCTTCACTCGTAGACAGAGCTACAGTCCTCTGCTTTTTTGATTCCCAGGAGATTACAGCACCGCCAAATTTAAAACAGTAGCCGTTGTATGATCTCCTGTCTTCACTGCATGCCCAATCTGCATCTGCTGCTCCAATTAATGGCTTTCCTGTATTGAAAAATTCAAGACACAAGTTCTTTGAGCCTTGCAAATATCTGAGAAACCTCTTTGCAGCAATCCAGTGTTCTTTTCCAAAACAAGAGTTATATTGGCTCAGGTAACTCACAGCATGTGTTATGTCAGGTCTTGTGGCTATTGACAAATACATCAATGAACCGATTAAATTTTGGTATGGATAGTTACAATCTTTTTCATGTCCTTTAACCAATTTTTGACCTAGTGTTAGTGGAGTTACAATTGGTTTGCAGTCAGTCATATTGATTTTTTTCAGGACTTCATTTATGTATTTCGTTTGTGACATTGATATCCTTCCATTCTTTCTTGTGAACTCTACCCCCAGACAATAGCTTAGTTCACCTAAATCTCTCATTTCAAAAGTTTTCATGAGCTGGGCTTTGATGTAATTGCTGTACTTTTGGTTCTTTGTAGCAATTAAAATGTCATCTACATATACAGAGATTATTGATTTGCATCCACCTACTATTGAAATGTATATACAAGGATCAGCTTGAGATGGTATGAATTTCAGTTCCTTTAGTTTTTCATCAAGCTTCATATACCACTGTCTTCCTGATTGCTTTAAACCATAAACTGCCTTTTTTAGTAGACAAACCTTTTTGTTTTGAGCATTTTTTAAGTCAGTAATCATTTTCTTTGTTTTGTTGAATAGTTTTTTATCTTCATTTTCACTCTCATCCACCATTATTTCTTGGAGGTATCTCTCAAAGTTGTTAGGAAGTTCCATGTAAACTTTTTCTTTTATTTCTCCATTTAGAAAAGCAGTTGAAACGTCCATTTGATCAATACTTAGATCATCTTCAACAGCAAGTCCAAGCATAAGTCTTATTGAACTTAGCTTTGCTACGGGAGCAAAAGTTTCATCGTAGTCAATGCCTGGTTTTTGTGCAAATCCTTTTGCTACCAATCGTGCTTTTCTTCTTTCTAGCTCTCCATTTGGTTTTAGTTTCTTCTCTAATACCATTTTACAACCAATTACATTAATTTCTTTGTTTCTATCCTCAAGCACCCAAGTTTCATTTTTTAAATGAGCTTTTATTTCCTCTTTTATTGCTTCATTCCATTCCTCTGAAGATTCTAAAGTTGAATCTTCATTGCAAGTAGCTGACATTTGATAATCTTTTGTCCAAAGAGGAGGTTTTCTTTGTCTTTTCTGTGATACCCTTATTTCATCAGTATCTAAATGTTCATTTGAGCTTAGTGAGTCATCAGGTTGATTTTCAATATCATTTGAGCTTGGTGAATCATCTGGTTGAATTTCAATATCATCTTCGAAAATAATATCATTTTCCATTTCACTGTCATTTTCTTCAAATATAGTGTCAAAATCAGACTGGTCATCATTATTTTCTCTCTGTTCGATAGGAATAATGCAAAAATCTTGATCTTTTTCGTCACTTTCTTTTATTTCGTTTTGCTTAAGAAGATTGTAATCATTTACATCTTCATTTCTTTCATAGTACATTTTTGATAGAACAATTTTTTTTTACATCTCTTGCAATTTTAACCTGCTTTTGTTGCGGCATCCAAATTCTGTATGCTTTTGAATTGCTTGCATACCCCACAAATATTCCTTGATCCGCTTTCGGATAACATTTTCCTTTTCTTGAAGCTTTGTTTAATACAAATACTTTTGATCCAAATACTTTCAAGTGTCTTGCTGAAGGCTTTCTTCCAGTCCATTTTTCATATGGCGTTAAGTGTTCAGTAGCTTTTGAAGGGCATCGATTTCTTATATAGTTAGATGTGTTAATATCTTCAGCCCACATACATCCTGGTAGATTTGATTCTATCAGTAAACATCTTGCCATATCCAATAATGTTCTATTTTTTCTTTCAGCCAAACCATTTTGTTGCGGCGTGTATGGAACTGTTAGTCTTCGCCTTATACCACTTTCTTTCAAGAACTTGTTAAATTCACCATTACAATATTCTTTGCCGTTATCTGTTTGCAGAAACTTGATTTTATTTCCTGTTTGATTTTCCACCTCATATTTATATTCTTTGAAACGTTAAAAAATTTCGTCTTTACTTTTCAAAAAATATACATAGCAGTATCTTGAATGTTCATCAATGAATGTTCCAAAATACTTATTTCCTCCAGGTGTAGTTACTTTGAAATGAAATGAAATGAAATGAAAAATACTTTATTCCATCAAAACACAAAAATTGTTACACAGGGCTGTACACACAGATGGATTATTCCCCACATAGGCACAGCCTGTGTGTGGGGAATGAGCTTCACCAGTAGTCAACATACAATTTGATATAAAATTTAATTAATAACTAAAATTATTATTCTACATACATTTTGAAGGAGTAAGATTGCACATTGAGCTAATACAAATTAATTTTTTTTAAACTGTAGGAACCACAAGAGGAAGTAAAGGCGAAAACAAAACTACACATACTAACAAACCGCGTACGTATCAACTGAGACTCGTAAACCACACACACACACACACACAGACAGACAACAGCACCCACATAACACACAACACACTTCAGCTCAGTTGCTCAGTTGCACCCGGACATCAGGCGGCTGCTGGCCCCACAGTTCCATTAGTTAGGCCGTCTCTGCTCTGTCCCTGCATGTCCTAGGAACCATTCTCTCGCTCCCTCTCACTCACACTCACGCACATCCACACACAAACATCACAACCTGTCAATCATTCAATCGTTGTATTTGACTGTGCTTTAGAAGGAATACATGGACACAAACAAGCTGTCGATATGCTCGCGTCCGAGTTCCACTAACCATTTATTTACGAGTTTTTTTATATTTAAACAGACTGCACGGTTCCGGATTTTTAAGCTGAAAAAATAACTGTTGCAATGTATTGGGGAGACGTTTTATTAATACTTTTAGTGATCTTAGGCAACTCTATCCCGGTGTTCAAAGCAAATCTTGTAGGATAGTTGTGAGAAGTTTGTTTAAAAAGATAATTTTTGTTTTTGAAAACGTATATAATTAATGATCTTATATAAAGCTGTGAAAGATTAAAAACTCTGAACTCGTCAAAGACATATTCTGATGGGTAGTGGCGAGGTTTCCGTAGAGCAATTTTTATAATGGCTTTTTGAATAATTTCGATAGGGGCCAGAATACTTTTATAGCCACCACCCCACGCTAGATTCCCAAATTGTAGAATAGACTGTATGTATGCATGGTAATTTTTTTTTAAAAGATCAAGAGGTAAAATTTTGGATATATTAGAAAAAACAAAAATGAATTTACGTAGTTTACATCTAATTTGATTTATGTGACTAGTCCATTTCAGCCGGCTATCAAACATCACCCCTAAATACTTAAACTCATTCACACGTTCAATACTTTCATACTTGTCACATTCAATCTCGGCACCACAACTATGTAATTTTAAATCTAAATCTAAAGGATCATAATCAGATCTAAGTGAAATCGGCATGTATTTTGTTTTTGATAAGTTAACAGTTAGTTTATTCTGGTCGAACCATCGCTTGGCAGTGAGAAGGCCGCGTTCGGCGTTAATGTACACCTCCGGCCAACTGTCGCCCTCGAACAGGAGCGCCGTGTCGTCGGCGTACAGAAAGATCTGCCCTTTGTTTAAGTTAATTTTGCCCAGGTTATTTATGTATATTAAAAATAACAGAGGCCCCAAGGTCGAACCCTGGATAACTCCATAATCAATTCTTTTTTGTGAACTATTTTGGTTTAAAATCGAGACAATTTGGAAACGTTCAGAGAGATAATCTGCAAACCATTTTAAAGTGACGCCTCTCACCCCTATACATTTCAACTTAT